TTCACAAGTAAGAAATCTAAATTCAGGTTGGACAGAGGATTATGAAACTCCTGTAGTAAACATGCATTCAATCAGTATAGAAAGATCACAATTAAGAGACCCCGAACAGTCTGAAGGTAATGCATTTACTTTCCCAATTTTGCAAACAGATTTTATTTTTGAGAAGTTTCTGGGTTTCAAGAAACATTTTTGTATGTAACTGGTATTGCCAGTTATGTTTGGCTGTTGAAAAATACCTAATTTATACTAATTCAATTTTCCTTAGAAGGTCGAAAGTCTCCAAACCTTTTGCTTCCAAAAAAAATAAACTATAAAATTTCTTGCCCTCTTAAGAAGTAGAATGGGACACATATAGCATACTGTGTAACAGGTTGTCTAGAAATATGTGCTGGGTTTCATCTTGGAGATGACACTTATACTTAGGTTTTCATATCTCAATGTCTGCATGGAACTGTGTCCCATCCCCCATTGCAATCTGTGGATGTCTAACCAATATAATCAGTGGGCTCCAGAGTACCACCATCCCTAGGGGTGTTAAAAAAAATTAATGTGGACTTAGCACTTCAGGAGATGGTTTAGTTGCCGTGGTGGTGTTGGGTTCATGGTTGAACTTGTTAATATTGGGAGTCTTTTCCAACCTTGATGATTCTATGATTCTATATGTGTCTCTCCCATAGATGAAGACAGAAAATGACAATAAACACTAACACCTTGAAGTATTTGACTTCATCCATGTTTTGGAATAGGACAAGGCACCAGAAATTTCTATCTGAATCTCTTATCTTATTGGATGTTCAGGCTGTCCAGGTGACAGGAGGTATCATAGACACAACCATCTACTTTGCTGCTTTCTGTTTGTAGATATAACCATCTACTTTCTTTCTTTCTGTACCCACCATACATCCCTAGCAGCCCTTGCTTTTTAGGAGTAGAAGACATCAAGTATAAACAAAATAATGGAAACTGTCAATCCTTTGGAAAACTTAGCATATGAAATCCTGTTGAAGAATGTGCATTTAATGGATACGAAATTGTTCCATTTCTGTACTTACTGCCCATCTCAGTCCCATTTCAAACTCCTCATACATTTGGTATAACTATTATTTTAAAGAACTTCTATCAAAGCCTATGTCAGGCCCAGTCCCTGCCATGGTGTGTCAGCTGGGCAAGGGTGACCTGCTTTTTTCAACTACTGCAACTAATTGTCCATAAAAACAAAAATGATTATAACAATTTGATGATCTCTACGTGACTACAGAATGAGAAAGACTCAATACATGGTTGGTCTTTTATCTATATGGCAGTAAAAGGACTGCAGGCTGGAAGGAGTGCTTGGTATTCACAGAGGGTCAATGTGCTCTTGATTCTTTGGGAACAGCTATTTAGCAAGACCTGCTGAGCTTCAGCTAATTTTTGCATCCCAGACAACTCGTGCAACAACATTACAAGCCAAAACTTCCTGCATGTGTAAGAAACAAAGTCCAGCTGCTGCTTTTTGATTTCCCTTGACATTTCCTCTCTCAGATAAAATGAAATATTTCTTTCCACCATATTAAATCCTGGCATTATTCTAATATGAAAAACAAAGTTGTGCCAAATTTTGCAGTGATCATTTGCTTGATACTTAGCTTTCCCCACCTTCACCTGTCTGGATCAGTGGTGGTGGATAGTCAGAGTAAACAGGATCACACCCTAATCCAGATTTGTAGCTGCTTTACTAGCAGAAATGCCACTGCTTTGTGACAGTGGCAATTGTCCCTTTTTAGGGAGTCCAGCTGTGCCTTAGTAAGCTTGGGAGGCTTGAAATTCC